AGGGTCTGAGGAGGTCGGCCCGGCGTCTAAGACTAGGTTTCAGACTCTAAGATTCTATCCGGGTAGGGCTAAACTAGATTAGGAATGTTAAGCTGGTTTGATTATAGGTGTCTGTACTGTTTCTATTCTTGGGGAGTATAATGGTCACTTTCTCACAGTTCTTCGGCAATCCCATCAGCTGTATAGTCGCAGGCGACGTTGTTCCAGTGGTAATTTTACTGCAGATATCATTGCTGGAAATATAATGGCTAGAATTCTAGTTGCTAAGTTACTGCGTTTCTAGCAATTCTGTTTCAAGCAATTAAATCTACAGGGTTAATAGAAAATCGTACAAAGCCCCCCATTCACATACTCCTTTGCAGAAATGTTGTTTTATTTTATCACCATTATTATCATTTTGCATTTATCATTATCATCATTATTATTATTAGAGTGTGATGAATACCTATTGCTGGATACACTCAACATTTACTTTACCCAAGATGGAAGTTGGTTACCAGGTAACTGGACAGAATGTTCAAATCAGTCCCTTTATATTTTTGTATCAGTGGAGAGATTTTTTAAATTGACATTAGGTTCTAAAGATTATAGGAATTTAATAGAAAACTATGGGCAGGGGCGGACATAAGGATTCTGTAGGGGGGGGGGTAAANCTGGGGGGGGTAAATAACCCCAATAACCCCCCTTATGGCCGCCACTGACTTTGGGTGAAAATCAGTGTTTTTGTAATTAATAATGAAACGATTGATGTTTAATTATTGAGTTTTCGCGAAAAATGAAAGGGTGCTTAGGCCCATGATATCGAATTAAATTCGATATCGATTGCTACTAATTTTACATTTATTTGTTGTGTATATACTAAGAAAATGGGTAAACATGTCCTTTACTCAAAAGAGTGCAGCGTCCATACAAATTCAAGGAGTTGCATTAATTCACTCAGATCATAAATAATTCAGATAAATAAATATACATAATTACCATGTACTATTTAAACAGCGATTATTTAGCTGCTACGTTATATCCTTAAAACATTGATATAAATTATGAATGAATGACGCAGTTAAATAAAGACTAAGGAAGCATGATCAAAAGGTAAAAATTTTAAAACCAAATTTAAGGGTTCAGAGTCATCGTTTTACTTTAAATATGGGCCCATCGAAACAATAATTTAACTATTTTTATTTCTTTTATTCTCAGATGCCTCATCCTGGTGTAGGAGCATTACAAGAAGATACAGAGAGATATGAAACCCGATATTATCAATGGGTTTGCTTTACTCTATTTTTTCAGGGAATCTTTACAATGTCGTCTTTTCTTAAAATATGAGATTCAGAGAAACTAGGATTACGGGGTTACCTTAAAAAAAGACTGTAAAGACGACCAAAACTGTGAAAACCAAGATCAAATTAAGTCGCGCATTGAAAACAGTTTTTTAATGCAGCTTATTTAATAAGAAAGAAATAAGTATACCACTGAATCATAAATTTAAGAAATCTCAAGTATAAAATCCGTACGATCGTCTCTGAAATTAAATCTTTTGCGGGTAATCCTGTAGATTATACAGTCTATCAATTTTATTATTTTTTTGACAAACAAACGTGTATTATTAAAATTAAAGGAATCTGAGATGTAAATAAGCGAATGTCGGATTCACAATAACGTGCACCCTTTACCCTTTAAATCGGATTTACAAAAAAGGAAGTTGTCGTCGTTTTTCTGTGCTGTGCTTCGGCTTGGATCGAAATTCATTAAACCGGTTTTTGAACTCAACTCTATGGAAAATAAATGCAAGTTGAATCCGAACGCTCAAGCAGTAAATAAGGCCCAACAACAGTTTAGACCTGAGTCGTATTTTCGTGAATATTTTTAATCGCTGGCTCTGAAAATTTAATAAAACTGTCTAAATTTCCTTTTTTAATATTGCTACATTGAAACCCTTAAAAACGAATACATCGGAAGAATTTATCAAATGTCGTCTTGACAATTTTTTGTTGAGTTGTATACTATATAACGTAAATTTCATGGTATTTGCGAAAATAAATAAATAGCCATGAATATGCGGGAACAGTTTTAAAGAGGTCCATATAATCATTTAATTAAAAAAACAAATATCTGCAACATTCCATTATCAGAAAGTGAAGAATACGACATTTGATTATTTCTTTCTATGTATTCGTTATTAAGGGTTTCACTGCACATAAATCCGCAAGTGACTTTTATAATCACAATTGAAAATTATCAATTTTCATATAAGAACAGCACTAACTTGTTCAATCAATAAACAGAAGAGTGGGGTTAAAATGATAGATATGCATTAGATCTATATGTTTGCTCAAATTCTCTCTTCGTTTTTTTATTCAAAAGTTGAACGAATGCAACTGTTCGATTTTTAACGATTTTTAAAAAGATTCTCTTAAAGGCGTTATTTTTTCTTGCTCCTTATCAGCTTTGGAAATATTGGGAGGCGGGGAAGGTAATTTTTTATAGCCGGCCAAACGGCTGGACCGATTGGGCTGAATTTTTTTGTTGACACTCAAGGGTGGCCGGGGGGTTGCTTTGATGCAATTGACGAGTTTGCAAGCTCTAGAACTAATCAAGAGCCAAGTAACAATAAGTAGTTAAACAGACCGTAACTAGTTCAACTTCTTCTCGTTGTTTATAAATTCCTACCTCAGGTTTCCCGGCTTATTCCTCGTGATTTAACTCATGCTGTATCAGATCCAAGAATGCCCTTCTTCGCTACTCCTTATAATCTGGTTCAGAAGCAGAAACTACATGGTAACATTGAGCATTCAGGAGTTTAAACTCCTTATAATCTGGTTTAGAAGTAGAAACTGCATGGTAACATTGAGCATAATATTCAGGAGTTTAAACTCCTAATAATCTGGTTCAGAAACAGAAACTACATGGTAACATTGAGAATATTATTCAGGAGTTTAAACTCCTTATAATCTGGTTCAGAAACAGAAACTACATGGTAACATTGAGAATATTATTCAGGAGTTTAAACTCCTTATAATCTGGTTCAGAAGCAGAAACTAAATGGTAACATTGAGCATCCTATTCAGGAGTTTAAACTCCTTATAATCTGGTTTAGAAGCAGAAACTTCATGGTAATATTGAGCATATTATTCAGGAGTTTAAACTCCTTATAATCTGGTTCAGAAGCAGAAACTACATGGTAACATTGAGCATACTATTCAGGAGTTTAAACTCCTTATAATCTGGTTCAGAAGCAGAAACTACATGGTAACATTGAGCATATTATTCAGGACTTTAAACTCCATATAATCTGGTTCAGAAACAGAAGCGTTATGATAATATTGATCATATATTGATCAGGAGTTTAAACTCCTTATAATCTGGTTCAGAAACAGAAACTACATGGTAATATTGATCACACTAAAAGGACTATAAGCGTAACTTTAATATGTCTTGATCAATCCTAACATCCAAAATGAAAAGTCAATTCTGAAATTCAATTTCAAAATTTGATGAATGTCAAATGTCTAGCTGGAATCAGTGAGATCAAAGATTATTTCAAGAACCAGAATGCCAGGGACTATATTGAACAAAGATACTTCCTCTACAAGGAAATTAGAAAAATCTTATTAATTAGTTGATATATATTTAAACTTAGAATAAAGAAAAAGGAATTGAGTCTTCGACACAAATTCAATTTTTGTAATCCTTGTATCTTTGCAACCTGATGATGTAAACCTTTGATATTTCAAACTTACATTATTTGATCTAACAGCATTCATAGTTTGAAATATTAAAGGTCTACGACATTGGGTTGCAATGAAATTGAAATTAGAAAATCAGAGTTTGTGGTAAAAACTCAATTCCTTTGTATCTGCGGGACTCATGCTTCGCTTTAATCAAATAATAATGTATATCTGAGTAAAATAATGCCAATCTACAATACATGATCTCGATATTTTTTGTGACAACTTTCAGAATAATGTGCTTAAATCCATTCATTTTAATTAATACTCCCGTGGATAATTCAAGAAGAATTTATTTAATCCATTGATATTACCCATGGATAATTCAAGAAGAATTTATTTAATCTATTGATATTACCCATGGTTCATGCTGGGATTCACGAGTCCTGAACTTTTTACAAAGGAACTGACTATTTGCCACACATTCTGATCTTCTAATACCTGTATCTTTGCAATCTGATGGTGTAAACCTTCAATATTTCAAACTATAATTATGTGATCTAAAAGAATTCATAATGTGAAATATCAAAGATCTCCGACATTGAATTGCAAAGATATTGTGATTAGAAAATCAGAGTTTGTGGCAAAAACTAAAATTGTTCAGAGTTTATTGTAACTTTAAAACATTTAACAGATAAAAATGGGATTAAAATTTACATTCAATTGACTTTAAAAGCAGTACATCTAAATCAAGGTGTTGAGTCATTTCATAGAAAGACTTTTCATAGACAGGACACTACATAAATAGGACACTTCATAGACAAGACATTTCATGGACAGAACAATAAATTGATAGGATATTTCATTGTGACATATTTTTATATATTTTTATATACCCCAAACCTTAAATTTTCTCTGAAAAAATTGCTTTTCTTTCTTTAAAATTATCTATCTATAAACGTTCTTCTATGTCTATAAAAATCTACTCTGTCTCTGAAATATCCTGCTTGTGGAAAGTCCTGTCTATGAAATGTCCTGTTTATGAAATGTCCTATCTTTGAAATGTCCTATTTTTAAAATGTCCTTTACTTGAAATGTCCTATCTTTGAAATATGCTATCTTTGAAATGTCCTATCTTTGAAATGTCCTGTCTTTAAAATGTCCTACCTTTTAAATGTCCTATCTTTGAAATGTCCTATCTTTGAAATGTCCTATCTTTGAAATGTCCTATCTTTGAAATGCCCTATTTTATAAATCTATGATTTTGTTATCTGTGAAATGACCATCTATGAAATGTTTTTCAATGAAATTACCAAACACCTAAATCAGAGTTATTTTCTGTCGTTCTTGGTAATTTTGAAACTTAAACATCTGATGAAACAAAATAGAAAGTTAACGGATTTTTGTATTAGTTTACAGTGTGTGAAATTCTTAACTTCGTCAATGTTCTTTTCCAGATATATTTCGTCAACTACTTTCTTGGGTAATTTTTTTAAATTTGTCAAAATATACCTCATCAAGATTTACTTTGTAAACTTTTTCTTTTTAAATTTTATCAAAAAATTTCTCTTTCAAGTTGTTGTTCTTCTTTCTTTCTGGTAATTTTTGAATTGTATCTTGATGTACTTCTTCTAGATCTATTTTGTTCTTTTTCTTAAAGGTATTTTATTTTATTTTATTGTGATCTATCTATAAATCTTAATTTTGTAAGCATCTTTCAAAGGCAACTTTAAATTCTAATTTTAATTCTAATTCTTTAAAAGTAAGCACTTTTTCATTGACGTGCTTTACCAAAAAAGTAACAAATATATATATTTTTTTTTTTTAGAGGGGTCTTTTCAACTTATGGAAGTGATGTGATCAGCGTGAGTCAGGTAACTCTCATAATCGTCATCATTATCATCATTATCATTATCCTTATCATCATTATCATCATCTTTATCTTTATTATCATCATTATCATCATCATTATCATCATCATTATCATTATCATGATAATTATCATTATAATTATCATTATCATTATCATCATAATTATCATTATCATTATCATTATTATCATAATTATTATCATCATCATCATTATCAATATTATCATCATTATCCTTCTATCATCATCATCAATATCATCATTATCATCATTATTATCATTGGCATCATTATCATCATTATCATCATTATCATCATCATTGTCATCATTATCATCATCATCATTATCATCATTAAAGTCATTATCATCATTATCATCATTATCATTATTATCATCATCATCATCATTATCATTAGTATCATCATTATCATCATTATCATCATTATCATCATCATCATCATCATTATCATTATCATCATTTTCATCATTATTTTCCTTTTGATTTTTATCATCACTATCCTCATCATTATCATTATCATTATTTTATCATTATCATCATTATCAACATTATCACCATTATCATCATTATCATTATTATCATCATCATCATCATCATCATTGTCGTCATTTTCATCATCATCATTATCATCATTATCATCATTATCATCATTATCATCATTATCATCATTATTATCATTATCATCATCATCATCATTATCACCATTATCATCATTATCATCATTATCATCATTATCATCATTATCATCATTATCATCATTATCATCATTATCATAATTATCATTTTTATCATCATTATCATCATTTTCATCACTTTCGTCATTTTCATCATTTTCATCGTTTATTATATAATAATACAATTATCATCATTGCCATAACTATTATCAATATAATTATGATTATATTATAATTATAATTATAATTATAATTTGTCCAATGTTTAGGAAGACCCTGAATTACGAAATGATGCAATGGACAAAGTTTTTCCGAAGGTAAAACTTATATTTTTCCAATTTTGAAAGAGTTTGTCATTTTCTTTAAAAAGAAATCTGAGATTCGATTCAAAAGAAAGACGGTTGGAGATTTAAATAAAAACATTAAATTGGTTCAATATTTTTAAATGGACTTCCGTTGTAATTTTATTTGAATTGAGGTATATATTTGATTCACAATGGTGCATTTTCTAGATTTAGCTGATCAATATTATAAAGGGTATCGTAGTCATTCTTGATGAGATATATGTAGTAGGATACATTGTGAATCTAACATATACTCCTTAAAATAAGCCCGGTTTACAGTACAGTTCCTTTTAGATATTCAAATCTTCGAAAATACATGAAAAATTAAAATGTTTCGAAATTCGAGGATTTTATGCTTGCTAAGAAAGACAACATTGACTCTGGTTCCAAATCATTCTCTATTAGGTTGCCAAGTGTACCTTTGAGAGGTATGGACCCTCTGGCACTATTGAGAATGCTGATGGACTCTGCCTTCTTCCTCTTAATATTCTAAATGAGAAAATTTATATTGTTCTATGGTTTTGGTTTATTGCGTTAGCAACAGGTTAGATCAATTATTATGTAAATCAAATTTTACACTTTTAAAGTAAATGTAAGCGTAAAATCAAGTGAGCCTCCATCAAAAGATGACAATGCCCGATTTAAACATTTGTTTGATCAAGTATGAATTACTTATTAATGATTATAATTTACAAAATTGATTACGTTTCAAATGATGTATCTCTAGAACAGACACTTGCGCATTTCTACTGCAGAAAAATGTATAGCAATGATCAGATTTTAGTATTTTTCAAATTAGAATAAGGACAGTATGATCCGCTACCAGTTAATGGTTTCAAGGATAACTGTGTAAACCTGGCATTGCCATCTTTGCCATGAAGGGTTACTTATATAGTCCCTTTCAGGGTTACTTGAAACTATGCTTATATAGTCCCTTTCAGGGTTACTTGAAACTATGCTTATGTAGTCCCTTTCAGTGCATCTTAAACTCTATTCTCCCTATTTTTTTGGAACCCCCACGTGAATATACATCCTACAATAAAATCATGAAACCGAGGAATTTTCGCATTCTTATGTTTTTAATTATGAAATGTTCCTGTGAATTTATCAATTTAAAACTATTTATAAAGAGTTTCTTAAAGATGGTTTTACATAGAAAAGCAGATAACTTGATTTAACCTTGGAATTGACATATTTTATTAGTTTAAAGAGGTCTGTACAGTACAGTAAAAGGAAGAACAAAGCCGACATTCATTTCACAACTTTGTTTTAAAGTATCTGGAGTCCAGCTTGTGTGGAGAATGGGAACCCTGTTTTCTAGAACAGTCAGAACACATTACCTCAGGTTTAGGTTTTTTCGAGGATTTATACAAAAATGTATTTTTGCTTTTGCTTTTTATCGTCTTCGTAATGAGCTTTAAAAATGGAGCTTAAAAAATGTAGTTTGGCATCATCAGGATTGCAGTGCTTATATTACAGAAATAAGCAAACACATCAAAAAAAATTGTTAGACAATGAATATATAAAATAAATAATACATACAAAACAACTTTTAATAAACAAAAAAAAACAAGAAAATTGTGTAACTTTTACAGCAAGTAATTTTTTAAATGAATAATGTCAAAACACATAAAACTTAAAAAGACAAGAAAAAAAACAGATAACTATACCTTAGTCTTTTGAAGAGTATTGAATGACTGGAAAAGGGTTGACTAGTTTATGGGCGTATGCAGTGGGGGAAGGGGGGGGGGGTTGAAGGGGTTAGA